GCCCCCGCCTCCCCCTCCGCCAAACATACCTGCAAACCCATCCAGTCCTCCTATTCCCCCTAAATCCGCCCCAATCTCTGGCGGCTCCATATTGAACGGCATGAACCACGCCGAGCTAGGGTCCCCAAACATAGCGTTCAGGACCGCATCGGCAGGGTGGGGGTGTCCATGCCCATGACCTCCATGCCCGTGTCTGTCGTGGCCACCGCCCCCTTCACCAGCACCTTCTGCCCACCCGGCAAGACCACCTCCGCCCAGTCCGCTGGATGGGTGGTCTACCCCGCCAACTCCGTATGCGCCAAACACGAGCTGACGGTCGAGGCGGCTCATACCGTGGGCGGCGGTCAAGGGCATTGCGAAGGGATCTGGGGAGAAGAAAGATGCTGGTGGCGGAGGATGATGGTGATGGCGGGATAGGTGATGGGATACAGCAACTGGCGAGACGGGGGAGAGCGCGTGATACGAGTTAGCTGAATGAGCAACTGATAAAGGGTTAAACGAGTTTGATCCGCTGGCCGGTTGTTGGCCTCCGCTGAGGGTGCCATTGGCCGTGTTAGAGAAGGCGCGCTGGGGCTGGAGGCGAGCAGTCGCCGCATGAATCTGCTCCGCAGTGGCAGATTGATGGCGGGCAAAGTCTGTCTGGAGGGGTTCTAGGACCTGGTCGGGACCACCGGCGCGGGAGGTGGTGCTGGCTTTTCGGACCATGGACTTTCGTTTGAGTTGTGAGCCAGGCTGACCGGGACGTGGGATTCCGTTGGCGGCCGCATTCTCGGCGCTCCGCGGCGAGAGAGTGGTGAAGAACTCTTCGACAGTGTGAAGTTCCGGCTTTTGCTCAAGCACAGCGTCGTCCCCTTTCTCTTTCTTCTTGTACGATGCAGGGTCTAAGAAATCAGATTGCGATACGCCATGCGGATAGCGATCAAACCAGTCCCCGTACTGGAAAATTGGCGATGACGGATTCTCGCTGGCAGGATTTCCCTGTCTAGCTGCATCGGCGCAGGTGCGATATTGTTCCCGGAGATTCTCAGACATCCAATGGAACATGCCCCAGTACCGCTTCATCTTGGACAGGAACCTGACGTTGGTCGCTAGGTTTCGTTTCGATGTAGCTTCCATCGTGGGGTTACCGGAGAATATGCCGAAGATGTGAACAGTGCTAGACAGAAAGGCGCAGTATCCTGTGAACGGAGCCGTGATAAAATGCGACTCGGCATCCTTGAGCAACTCCGAGATCCTGTTCGCTGCGGCGAACGCCTTCGCCCCGGCCTTTGTCACGAATGCCTTGGGCACATCTTGCTGCAAATGGCCGCTTGGTGGCGATACGGCAAACCGATTCATGAAAAGAATGTTCTGTTGGATAGAGATGTGCAGGAATAGAAACTGGTTGGCCATGTTGTCCGTCTCGTGCAGGTGAAGATTCTCAGGTGTGTACACCAAAGACTCGGGCAGCTCGGTCAAGATATCTTCGGTCTGCTTGATTAACTTGGAGTACTCGGAATCCGGACTCCACATTGGGTGAGGATCCAGCTCTTTCCCGCCCTGATTCAGGTAGCCGATGATTCGGCCCCATAACGTAATGGCCTTGATCATCCAGGCCGCGACTCCCATGTTTTCCTTGGCGTCCGTGGACTGGCCCTCCGTCACGGGCTCAAGAACCTGACCGCTGAGCGTTTCGGTGGGACCGGGGATGTCGTACTGGAAATTCTTTTCTTTGATAGGAAGCGGAATCTTGAGCGTCTCCTCTCGGATGAACGTCGGTCTGTCGGTCCCCGACGAGTTGAAACGGTCCATCAAGAAGCAAGCCCACATTGTCCGTCTTCGAATCTCTCGGTCGACGAAGCTGAGTTGAGTTTTGCCGGTGATTCGAAGCGGGTCGTGCTCTAAGTCTTTGTGAAGCTGGAGTGCGAAAGCCATGCGAATCGCTTGCCCTCCCAGCGACCAGCTTCGTCCCCCATGACACGTGCCAAACTCGTGCAACCCCAGGATGAGCAGGCACGTCAAGATGGTAATATTGGGCCACTCATATCGTTTCGTCAGAATATCACGGGCAACGGAGGCCCATTCCTCCCCGCGGAGGAAATTGGGATGCGTGTTGAGCTTCGGGTGGTTGGAAAAGCGTGCCGCAATTGCGCAGACTGATAGGACCAAGACCGGGGGAAGGGCGCCGGCTCTGTTTGGAGTCACCATTGTCAGCATAGCTTTCAGAAGCTATCGAGTGGCTCGGCATACCTGAGCTTTCTCATAAAGCTAGGCTTATGGAGAAGATGATATGCCTGGCCGTATATGTTCTCAAAGAAGACCTCGGCGAGGTGCTCCTGGATCTCCTTTGAAGGGAGAGCGTCGCCTCCCTCAAGCAACAGTTTGCTTTCTTCGGCCTCCTGCACCAAGATCGAGGAGGGCTTGTTGGGACCATCAAGCTTCGACCTCGACGGGGCGCGAGCCCAGTGGTCCAGATCGGGGCCAAAGGCCTCATCAGCGCCCCGTTTCTTGGCAGCCGCTGCCTTCCCACTAGTGAGTGTACCCGGGATTGCCGGCTTGACCACGGCCCGAGTCACGGACGACGCGATTGCATCCTGCTCGGCTTTTGGTACAACCTTGATGATGCGCTCCTCCATCCTCTTCAGCCGCTTGTCCAGCATGGCCATGTAGTCAGTCCTCGGGGCAGCCTTCCGTGCTGTGACTTTGTAGACGCAAGGAATGCGTGACCGGAGACAATGCTTGCATGCAGGTTTCTCGCCGGAACAGCGTATCTTTTTTCGGCGACATGCAATGCAAGCTAACGGTAAGCGTTTCCTCTCCTTTCCGGCCTTGGTTTTGAGCTCGCTCCATGCGGGCGCAGTATCGGCCTTCTCCCCTTTAGACTTCCCCCCCATGTCGGTTCCACCTCCCAGGCCGCCCGTGGCAAGACCGAACTCATCAGACATCGGCTCCTCCAACGAATTGGCGCCATTGCCGTTGCTGTCCGGCGTACTATTTTCAGAAACCCCCGGACTGGTCCGCCGTGGACCATTGGCACCGCCGTAGCCCGAGGTTTGAACGGTGATGGACGTTACCGAGTCCTGTCGGTCCGGCATCGACGCTATCGAAGGCCGCTGAGATGTCGTGAACACATCGGGGGCGTGATCATCGAAGGTAGACGGTAGGCCATCCATAGGAGAGTCTTCTAATGGATTCTGGTACTCGAACCGAAAATCCCCGAAGTGAGAGTCATCTGCGAGATCGGAGGCGGCCGTGATGGTCCCCAAAGCCTCATTGGAGTTTTCCAGCTTGAGGGCTTTCAATGCGGCAGACTCGGATTGGGTAACGTGAGCTTCCGTGTCGCCAGCGGAAGGAGAGAATTCGAGTTCCAATGGGGAGAGATTCTTGAGGTCGTCCAGAGCGTCGCTTGGTGACATGGCGAGGCTATCCAACTATCCCTATCGACAAGGCCTTCTGCTCAATTCACGGGCCTCCGTTGTTCGACAAACTGACCAAGTCGATACGCTGCTTTCGAGACCCCGCACGGCGTACTCAAGTCTCAAAGTCCTCCACTCGAGATGGATTGAACGCGAAATATTTTCGAGCGCCGCATAAGAGGCTGTTCTCATAATAGTGCTTGAGCGTGAAGGGAGAATGCCGACATGTCTCAAGGAAGTGTGTGTGTGAGAGATTGTGAGTAGCGACGTGCTGCCGTGTTTCTCCGGGTGCGTGTGTAAAGGCAGAGCCTGCGAGGTGTCTCCAAATGTTGTTGATGGGGGAGAGACCGGAGCAAGCGGAGTGGCGAACTGGGGCCGGAACCAGTGGTGTCCCAACGAACGAGAAGCTGGATTCGCTGAGAGATGGTCCAAACAGACTTACACTAGTTCAGTAAAGAAGCGTTTTTCTCGTGGTTGAATTGTGGGGTAACATCCCAGTCTGTCTGGGGGTGATCAGAGGTCCGAGTGGGGAGGTTACATAGCCTGTCTGGGGTCAGGGTGCCTCTGCGCGACACCAAATATCGCCTCTTTCTCCACTGCGATTGGTTGTGTGCGAACGAGATCCAGAACGACGTCGAGCGAACCATCCGGTTGCGGGCACCTCAGGCAGGACGCAGAAGATCGAGAGGAGGGCCAAAGCATTGTCCGTCTCGGTTCACCCACAACGGAACATACATCCAATATAGTGTGCTTCGAGCAGGCGGGAAGCAGCATCGAAAAACTGGGGGAGAACAGGGAAGAAGGGTGGCTTAAATTCGGCGAATGGCAAATAGATTGATCACGGGGGAGGGGGGAGGTTGACAGGTGCAAGGGAAGTTCAAAGCTTGGGCGGGCCGACTCAGCAATTGCACATATTCATGACAACCTCTCCTGCCCTCCCAACCCCTACCTCCTTGCCCCCCATTTCCTCTTGAGCAGAAAGACGCATGTGGGAGATGGATGCTGCAGCAAAAGTAAGATGCAGCAAGCGCCGCCCGCCTGAGACCTCTCGGTCTTCGGTCCGTTATGGGAAGCGCAACCCAACCCGCTGCAGCCACGCTCGCGCAACCTCTCCCGTCATGCGTGAGGTGCACCTTACATGCGTCAAAAAAGACAAGCCGCAGAGACGTATTGTTGTGCAGCTGAGGCAAGCCAAAGCAGTTGTCAATCCATAGAACAAGAATACGACCTAATCCAGCCACAGCAGGACAGTGAAGATTGCTACTTCGTTCCCCGCACGGGCGCCCTTGTCGAGCATGTACGGAGTACGGATCCTCTTTTGCTTCCATTTCGAGAGGGTGGGGAGAACAAGATTATTACACTACACTACATACAGTAGTCCTTGGACAAGTATCCGTACATACCCCTTCTTTGCCCCGGACTGGTGTCGCCAGCATGGAAGCAGCCCTAAGCTACTAGTAGAATAAACTACCTTAGTGTGTGTGGGTGGCTGAGTGGACTCGTGAACTCGTGTGCGCCTTGCAATGACAGGATACACAGTGATGGCAGATTCCGAGAATACGCCGGTGCGCGATATATAATACGGCACCTGAGGTAGGTACCGTGAGGCAGCATTTCCTGTCTGTCTCCAGCAGCTCCTTTGGCCCCATTTGATATCTACCCGGGCTGCTACTGGCCATGCTACCGAATGATTCAGCGGGGACGTCGATTGCTGCATGCCTTTTTTAGCGATGACTACCGCCTTTCTAGGTTCCGGCCGAGATTGTTTAACTGATCGTCGTCACAGGCGGAATGAAGTCTTATTAGGCTCGGGCTGACAAGCCCCGATCAAATCGTACAGTGCAAAACGTGGCACCAAGCCACCAGGCGTACGCTAGCATCAGGGCCAAGAAGATTTAAGAGCAACGACAAAACGATTTCGGAATCTCCCGAAGAAAATGTGCTTCTAGGTTGATTAACGTGAGAACGAGAGCTAACAGATGTTTATTACTCCGGTAAACTATGTAAGTTATGTCTGTACGCTATAACATGGAAGTTACTGCAATGCTGTCAGTATCAACACCATACAGGCTGCTGTTCGGTATTTACGCAGCAGCTGAGGCATCACAACGACTCTACACGACGCGACCTTTCCTCCAGCAGCATAAGTGATACACTTTCCGTATTATTTAACGAAAGTATCAGTATTTCGTAGTGTGTGTATTATTCCGATGCTCTGTGACAGCTAGTAAGTACACTTCGTACGAA